TATATATATATATATAAAGCCAGAGAAATGAACCACCCTGAATAACTTTTCATTCAATGATCGGATGTTCACATTCGAGGGCTCATTCCCAATATCTGGAGGAAGTGGCTTCAAACATACTAATTAATTAGTGCATACGATACTCAAAGTTACGAAATCAGATACAAAAAAGCCGGAGTATAAACATACCTTTTTTCCGTGGATTTCTGAACCCTAGATGCTAAAAACAATTCTCTCACCTTTCATTTCACGAAGTATATTTGGTTTTGTAAACTTTAATATTCTTTAATTTAATCGTAAAAGGCTTATAACTGCATTGAATTCTTTTAGTTTTCAAAGATAGGAAATTTTGAAATATGATTAGTTTTTACTGGTATGCTTCTAGAATCATTACTTACTGATAAGTAGCAATGTTACCAACAAGTATTATCACCTCATGCCGTTTCGAAATTAATATAAAGTAGTTTTAAACTATAAAACAAATGCTAGAATTATCTAACACTTGATTCATTCTTCTGTTCATGAAGTCTTTTTATTAATAGACACTGCAACATAGAAAACGTCTAAACTGGCAAAATACATTAATAAAATTCAATATGCAAATAATTAGAAATATCTGTGCACAGCAAAGTATTGTTTTAATGTATAGTATCGAGTATAGAGCATGAAGAAAAAACGCATCATACTGAATAACTTTTGATTTTATGATTTGATCTTCACGTTTTAGGACTCATTCTTAATAGTCCGAGAAAGTGACCTCAAATATATTAATTAATTAGTACAGACCATGCTTTAGGTTACAAAATCAGACACAAAAATATACTCTCTCTGAATAAAAATGCTTTTTTTTTCAACTGGATCGCATTTCCGACTCCCAAAATATTGAGAGCAGCCGAAATCAAGGAACTATGGTCCCCACAGTTTGGGAGAGCGATCCAAATTTTGGGCACCTTAATATTAAATTTACTTTTTGCATATTTTTCCATACAAGGAAATATTTTTAGTCAAACAGAAACATTTTGAAACACAATTATAAAATTAAATTATCCAAAGATAATTCAATGCAAAGAAGATTTGTTGGAAATATTTGTTAGGTTTTATTATTTTATTAAATAATATAGTCGAAAATTTTTTAAATTTTAAGGTATACAATGATTTACCTCATTTTGGATTAAATAGTTCCTGAGAAATCGAATGTTAAAGAAGTTGTAGATTTGAAATTCGATTTCGAAAGATTCAATTAATTACGCTCAAATTTTGTATTTCGCCATAAAAAATTACGTACTCTAACATTATGAAAATCTATATACATTACTATTCAAATTCTTTCTACAATAACTTAATAAAAAAATAAAAATAATAACAAATAATAAATATTTACTCATAAATATTTCTTGTATGGGAATATCTTTGGGTAAACTTGTTTCATGTTTCGGTGCAAAATTCTTTCAATTCACTTAAAGAATTCTCGAGAGTGTGCAAAAAACACAAAAATTAAAATTAATATTAAGGAGGGATTCGTATATTTCTCCTAACTAAACTATGATCAAAATTCCCAGATTGCAGCTGGCCCTTATGTTTTGGGAGTCAGAAATCCGAATAAGTTGAAGAAAAGGCATGTTTATTCAGAGAAAGTACGTTTTTGCTTTCCTTTTGTAACTTGAAATATCATAAGCCCTAATTAATTAATATATTTGAGGTATATATACCCTCTCGAACAATTTAGAATGATTTTATCAATAAATCAAAACATATTCAGGGTGATACCCTTTTTTTTGTTGCACTGTACTCGACATCATGCATCAAAACAATGCATTGCTCAAATAGTTATGATCAATTGCATATTGTTGAATTTAATTAATGAATTTTGCCAGTTTAGACGTTTACTACGCTGCAGTGTATATTAATAATATGACTTTAATAATAGAAGAATGAATCAAGTATTAGATATTTCTAGCATTTATTTAACAGTTTATAACTACTTTATATTAATTTCAAAACGGCATGAGACGAGCTGATGTAAGTGGGTAACCTTATTCCTTATCAGTAAGTAAAGATTCTAGAGGCATACGAGTACAAACTAATCATATTTCAAAATTTCCTACCGTTGAAAATTAATAGAATGCAATGCAAATATAAACCCTTACGATTAAATTAAAGAATATTGAATTTTAGAAAGCCAAATACTTCTCAAAATGAAAGGTGATATAATTTATTTTAGCTTTGTCCCCGCATTCTATTGCGTTAAAAGTCATTAGCGTTCCATTTGATTAAGTGAAAACTCCAAAATTAATCATTTCAAATGCCACTTAATTATTTAGTGTTTTAATTAAATGAAAATCTCTTCAAATTGATTAAGTGCGAAAATAAAATAAAATTCCATGTGTGATTCTAAAAATATGATTGCACAATCGGTTAAATATATATATGCATGTGGTGTGTGTGTTTTGCAAAGGTATAAGTTCTTATAACATTTATTGCTTACCTGAAAATTAAATTTAGGGATTAAGAAAAGTTAAAATAGTTAAAATTCAAAAACATTGCTTATCTAAGCCATACTTACTTTTAACTTTGGAGAAATGTAAAATTATTAATTAATAACAGAGGTTACATTCAATTAGTTTCTGACCGTCGTTTTATATTTTCAGAACTCAGTTACTGATGGATACTTAATAGGAGTTTCATTTTAAGAAAGTTTATGTAGGCGCTATAAATTTTTTTTTGTTTCATATCTTTGGTTTGAAAAATAAAGACAATAAAATTTATTATGCTCCATAAACAAACCATCAAAAGCAGATACGTTATTTTCTTATAGTATAAAAGCGCCTGCTTTTAAAAACCGTGACTCTTTTTCAATCCTGATTGATCCAATAATTCTTTTAAAAAATGTTAGAATTATTATTTTTATTTTATTTTTTTTATAACGTCAGGCACTGAACTTTCGTTCCTTGCCTTAGAAGATGCCGGAAGTGTTGCTCATTTATCGTTACCCAGTGGGCACCTGTGAACCAAAGTCACGGAGGCGAGCAACATTACCCACGCCACACTGCCACAAATACCTGTTCATAGGATGGGCCAAATTCATACATTCACGCATCAGAAGACAACAGAGAGAGAGAGAGAGAAATATACATGCGCAGAGCGGGATTCGAACCCAAAGCCATTGACTTTGCAGTCAGGCACGCTAACCACTCGGCCATCTGGCCAGCGTGTTAGAATTATGAAGATACACATACAATTACTTATACATAAGTGAATTTCCAAATGAACAAATATTATACTTCGTTTCACGCATAAATAAAATTAAACAATATGACTCAAAAAATTGCAGGCCATAAAAATATACATACAATAGTTTCGGTTCTTTAATTTAGAACTTTCTTCAGTTTCCAAACATAGAAAAATTATGAAGAGTGGGAAGCATGCTTGAACTAGAAAATCAAACTGATGTGTTAGAAGTACGGAGAGAACCCCAGTTTCATAAAATAACGAAATTTAAATAAAATAAATTTCTAACCATTAAATAAAAAATGGATTCCAAAGAAGTACTGGAAAATTTAATTACTGAATTAATAGAATTTTTCAAAATATAAAATGATTTCCAAGAATCAAGTTCCATGGATATGTTGATTAATTTTCACAGAAAACTTAAACCTACGATTAGAATTCCAACTATGTAATGGACAGATGATTGCTTATAATCCTCATCTTGGGCAAGCTGCTTAAGTCAAAGTTTACGTATTTGCTTGGTTTATCCAAGAAGCGCAGAACCACACTAAAAAGCAATAATAGAAATGGAGTATTTAAGAGAGGTAAAAACTTTGTTGGCTCACAGGAGAGATAACTATTTTGGAGTTTAATTTATTTAAAATTTTGATTATATTATTGCTACAATTCTGAATACAGAAATGTTTATGCAAAAATGGTATTATAAGCACATTGATATTTTCAGCTTTAAGAGTAGAAGGAGAGTTCTTGAATATAAGTCAAGTTTCTCGGGAGGATATGGGTGCTTACTTGTGCATTGCTTCCAATGGAGTGCTTCCAGCTGTTAGTAAAAGAATATTGTTGCAAGTAAATTGTAAGTAATTCAAGTAATCAATTATAAGTACTACTTCTATTTACGTATTTATTATTTAATCCACTTGTTCTATTACTTAATTAAAAAACCATCAAACAGTTTACACGCTGTTAGAAATAGAAGATAATTTGTTGGTCTTTCTAAATAAAACAACACAAACCTTTCCTGTAAGAATAAGAGAGGCTGAAGAAACATGAAAAGAAACATGAAAATTATATCTCAACCTCTGCGTAACTCTAAATCTCTTAAAATTTTACAAATATTTGTTGTTGTTTTTTTCATTTTGGAGAAATTTTTCACTCAGAAGTTATGGCATACACCGATTCACTTAATTCCTTTTTATATAAAATATAGAAGGCAGAAATATACGGTTACATAGTATACAACTATGAGGATAGTTTTTCAAATAAGAACTGTTTTGAAATAGAATAAGAGAAACTTTATTTGTGAATCAAAAACCAAAATATGAATAATATTATTTTTTTTACATAGTCACCATTAACATTGAAACATTTGTCACTAGCACTAGCTTTTGGATCCCATCATGAAAAAATTCTACCGCCTGACCGTAAAATTAGTAATAGTTTCTTTCATCATGCCATCAATTTCAAAGTGATTTCCACCTTAAATTCCTTATGGTTTGAATCAGATGAAACCTGACTCAAAGTTAGGGCTGTATGGTGGATGATCCATTGCTTCCCATTCATGACAGCACGCTGTTCAGATCATTATTCGTCATGAACATGTGTTCTTCCTTAATTCAGTTGATTCAAACACTTCAATTAATATTTTTTTCTTATTTGAAAGAAATTTAATTTGTACAACAAAACATATCCACTGCCAATTTTTTCATACTTAAACGGTACCCTGTCAGAATAAAATAACTATAATGTATTGTTCGACCAAACTTAAATGTAAAACTAATAAATGCAGATAGTTTGTAGACTTTTTTTGCATAACTACACAGTGAGGCTAAAATAGGATTTAACCAAGAGGATGAATTATGACCCTAATGAAAATAATTCATATCACTAATAAATAAATTAATATTGTAATGTTAAAGATGTTATGACGTTGGTGTTATGGTGTTACTGTGATCTCAGATATTATGTATAGCCATTTCAGAGATGACTACAGTAGATATATTTTCAACATTCTTTTAACATATTGCAGATTATTGAGAAACGACGTGTTACAAACCATATTTCTGTTGCTGTTACTGTGAAAAATTTGTCAGTGCCGAATTTCGTGATGTTAACACAGCTACATGTTATTTATATTAGTGATGTTATCAGAAGCAATTTGTTTTAGAAGTAATTACTATAGCTATACTATATTTAAAAATGGTGCTCCCTTCATATCATAAAGCAGCCACATGCAACTTGAGTTTCATATGTTACAGTTTACTAAATTATAATAAAATCTTTTTAGAAATATAACTTTCATTCCAACGTTTTTGTTATTACTTAATTCAATAAACAGTAGAAAAATTTTAAAAAAATAGATTGAGTAAATTATTTAATGTTTAAACAATTTGCTATATTAATAAAATATAGAAGGCAATTTTTTGTGGATATATCTCTTTGTTGATTATATTTTTATATCTTTTCGTTGTTTTGGTTTCTGACCATTTTTAAATATTTTCTAAATATTTTTTGGTTACTTTTCTATACTTAGAAAGTATTTTACAATACTTAGAAAGAGTGTGTGTGTGAGAAAAAGAGAGAGAGAGAAATAATAATAATAGTAATGATTTTAGTCTTGATTTGAATTAGTGTTGTCAATTTTAAGAGATTTGATGTAATGCTTTGTATCATGTATTTAAACCAAATTTCCTATAATATCAAGTATTAAAGTGAGTTGACGGAATAAATTCTTCAGAATTTAGTAAATATTTATTCTGTCAAGAATTTTACCTTCCAATCCCATCTGTTTCTTACAATCAACTAGATTTGCATTCTTTTCATATTTTACCATATTTAATTTTTCCTATATCCTCATCATAGAACCAGAGTAAAACCTTTCGTATTGACAAAATATTTATTAAGTACATCTTCAAGTCAACCTTAATTTATATGAGAGTCTAATGTGTTGTGTTACTTTGCATTTAGTTTTAATTTCTTTTTAGTTAAACCTAAAATTCGAGTGCCAAATCAACTAGTTGGAGCTGCATCAGGATCCGATGTCGTATTAGAATGTAGATTAGAAGCATCTCCAACGCCACTTACTTCATGGATCCGAAGTGAAGGTATTATGTTGCTCAACAACAAGAAATATGACATATCTGAAATGAAGGATGGTTATAAAATCAACATGAAAATCAAAATATTCAGCCTGACAGTAGATGATTTTGGTTCATACAAATGCGTGGCCAAGAACACTTTAGGTGAAAAAGAAGGATTTATCAGGTTGTATGGTATGACATTTCAACTTCTCGAGAGTATATATATATATATATATATGTAACATAAAAAGCTTCAATTAATCTTTTTATGTTAGTTTCTTTTATAAAACTTCATCCTAATTAATTATTCTGAACGAAATACTTTCTCACACTTTTAAAAGCCACATCCTGTTCTTAAATCTATTTTTGGCTCAACTATGCATGGAATTAAGAGCAGGACATTTTTCCCTTTGCTTTGTGTGGGAAACATTCGATCTATTTCATAAACCAATAGCAACTACTAAGATTTCCCTCTTTCCCTAAAGTAAGACATTTTACGGATTTTACTTTGCAAGATTTTCCCTAACATATAACCAAGGAGCGCAACTTTTC